AGTTGCTACATTTCCCTGAGCCACTTCCCCACAGCTCTCCTGCTTCTCCCTTACCTTTGGGCTCCCTTATCAATAACTTGAGGGTGTCTTCATTGACCAGTCCTTCAGCCGCACTTCCTTTCGTCTGCCTCCCCGGCTCTCCTCTGCCTGACTGGAGTGAGCCTTTTTTATAGTATCAGCGGGGCCTTAATTAGAGTCAGGTGGTCACATTAGCTTAATGGCCTCACCTGACTCTTTGCAGGTTAATTGGAGTCAGGTGTTCTCATTAGCCTGGAGCAGCCCCTGCTCTGGTCAGTCAGGGTACAGAAAACTGTTAACCCAGTGGACAGTATATCTGCCTTCTGCTATTCTGCTGTACCCAGCTGGACTGGGTCTATCACAATATTTATTCAAAGATATCATGATTTTGGGGGGCCCAGCTCCTGTCATTTGAAGGCTAGGGGTTGCCAAGACTGCATCATTTGTACAGCCCTGGAATCAAGGAGGAGCAGAAAAGGCATCAAAACTCCTAGGTTTCCAAAGGGAAACATTTTTAAGATCACCCTTAACAATAGGAAGAGCAATACTGGTGTAAATGCAGTTCAACAGAAAGGAGCCCAGGCTCGGATCCTCAAAGGTGTTGAGGTGGCTGACTTCTGGGCGTTAGGCACCTATATATCTTTGAGGATCTGGGCCCAACTCCTTGAAAGTTTTGCAGCTAATTACGGCCAGCAGAAAGACACCAAACTTAGCCAAGAGACCAATGAAGAGTGTAGAGTTGGCGCAGGGACATGTATGTGATTAGATGGCGCAAATATGTAGGAACTGCAATCTTAGGGTTAAAGGAATCTCCATTTTCATCTTACTCTTCGGTGCAGAGGTAGCCAGGAATCATCTTTGAGAGATTAGCTATGGGGGAAAAAATGGTGTAGTTGTGTTTTGAATAGGCACACGCAGGGGGAAATAGCAATTTTGAAGTGTCAGAAGATTGTTAGGAATCATTTGAAATGACTGCAATCACTAGGGTGATATACTATTAGGGATTATCCACAAGATCTGTCCCCTTTGAAAAACGAAGGCAAAACTCTCATTGACTACAATGGGAAGAGGTGCATACTTGGCAGCAGCAAATTTTGCTAGGAAATTGTTCTTTTCTTTCTAAATTCTTGTTAGTTAATATCAACTTCCTGCAAACTCCCATGGAGAAGGGATTTTAGCTTTAAAAAAAAGTCAGGGCTTTTTTTAGTAGACTCCATTGTCTTGCGTCTTCCTTGTTTTATCACCGAGATCATTGTTTTGTTATTTTGAGCATTTTTTGTTTGCTGTCTCTTTCGTGAGAAATCCTGCACAGCCTGTGTTGTGGACCCTCTCCTGCTCGCCAGGAGTCTGAATTCAACTTACGGCAAGGTGACTCAGTGCTCAGCTACTATCCGTCAGCTCTGGCAGACTCTGCAATTTCCTTAATCTTCCAATAAGTTTCCTCCCCCAACGACTCTGGATTCTTTACTGGAAGGTCAAGCAAACCAGAACCTAGAGAAGAACCTAGAGAAGAAAGTCAACAGATTCTTCTGGTTTCTTAGGATATGACCAAAATATCCCTTCTTTTCCAGTCTATAGCCATCCTCGCTGGCTGTCACAGTTATGTTCTCAAATTACATACAAGTAAAGGAAGTGGCCTTCAAATTAATAGCTTCCTTCATACTGTACTTCCACTACAACTATAGTGTGTGTAGGATATTCTGTAACTATTCATGTTGAGCGGTAAATAGATAATTAACTATTTGGACAACTGTAAAAATTTGCCTTTGAAGTATTCACACAATCTTTGCTGACCCTTTGTAGGTCATCCAGGATTTAACCAGCAATAATTGAGGTCCAAGAAAGAACAGCCAATTTCTCTTTTCAATGCATAGTGCCAAATGATGTATGCATGTGCTAGGAGGAAGAAAATGGTACAGGAAAGTCCACTAGCGTGAGTAGTTACAGTATACACTACGCCAGCTATAGGTGAAGTACAGTATTAAAGGAGCTATTAATCTGAAGGCCATGGTCTTGTAACATGGATGTATTGAACTATAATATGCAATGAAGGGAATTTCAGTTTATTTCCCAATATACTTATTAAAAATTATGTCCAAGTATTTGTTCAGAGCATAAGGACAGTGGGCCCAATTCACTCTACTGGGGCCAGCAGTGGAACCCAGAATTTGCACCCAGGGCAGCAGAAAGTCTGGTGGGAGAGAGGAACGTTGGTATAAGCTAACCACAACCCCTGCTTCTCTGGGGAGCAGGAAGCCAGCTGGCACTGTCTGTACACTGGCAGGCCCAGTGTCGGAAGGAGAAGGACAGGGCTGCCAGAGGTATGCTGATTTAGAGCTTCTCCAGGAAGCCCTTCTCTGCTGAACTTTTTCAGATCCCTGGCCAAAACTTCTCCAAGGAGAAGCCCTCAAGGAAGGGCTGGGGCAGTACTGCCACTGATCTTCCTAATGGCTGAATTCCTCTCTCATATGCAGCTGCCTCTGGTGGCATTGGAAGCATGGAGTTGACAGCACCTTATGCTGCTGGGAGTGAATTGGGTCCTTTGTCATAATAAAGCCAGATCAGAGCTGGGAGCGTTCGCAACTGTCTATTTTGGCTGCAGGTGGTGGTGATATTGTGCAATCCGCCGGCTGTTCATATAAACCCAGCACCTGACTTTGTGTTATTACATATTTTTTCTGGGCTGAATAAATTACCAGTGGACATCTGTAAAACACATTTGTGTGACTAAAAGGTTTATAAAGACATGATGGGTTAGCTCCAGCTCCCCTCCCACTTTAGCCCAAGGGTAAATTTCTGTGATGGATCCTCTCCAGTGACGAATGGCATTCCAGAATTAACAAAAGAGGAAAGAAGCATTTCTCTCTGTGTTACCCATTAGTTTCTTGAAGTTTATGCCAAACAAATTCTCTTACTGTTAAAGTTGTTTTGTAAGTGGATATCAATGGATATACCTCTGAGAACAAGGTAATTATGAGTGGGGGAAACTGTCTCCAATGGTTTCCATTTTTATGGCCTTGTATATATCAGTGTAATACACATTTATTAATAAATGTGCTTTCTGATTGCTAATCCCCATAGGGACGAATTTTTGTTTTCCCTCATTCCCTGTAGCTGCAAAAACTTACTCACATGTTTAATTTATGCATTGCAAATAACCCCATTGATGTCCATTCCACTACTCACATTGTATAACGTTACGCTCAGAAATCTTTACAAAATTGGGACCTTATTTTTCAATTTTTAAAAATTTGTGTGTAAGTAAAGAAAAGAGCAAATTTTATCCAAAGAATATATAACACATTCTGCTCTCCCTTTCATCAGAGTTAAATCTAGACTCACTCTATGGACCTCAGTGGAGTCACTCCAGATTCACTCTGGTGTAACAGAATGACATCTGATTATGATGTATCTGCCAAGCCTCTGAACAGAAAAATAATACTTTGCCTATATATATCTCAATATCAACGTAAGCTAAATCAATACACACTGAACCATGTCCACCCAGGGAGATTTGACTGATTTAGTTAAAATTGGCAAATCTGTTAATTTCTTTTCCCATTTCAAAAACACCCCAACCCTTCCACATATGACCATAATCAAGAAGGGAAGCAGGTGTTACTCAACAAACCAACATCTACCAACTAGATTTGCTGGCCATGATTAGACTTTGTCAGTATCCCGAATATATTTCTAGCATGACACTGTGCTCATGATACTGGGGTCACTTAAAGTCAGGGATGAAGACCTGGTGGGGAGGGAAGATGGAGGGGGTAAGATCCACTCATATTAGCCTCTAGGCCAGACCTTCTTTTTTTTTTTTTAATCTGAGATTTGGTACAATCTGGTCCATTCCAAAAGAGGAAAACAAACAAAACTCTCAAGAAGTATTTTTATGAGCCCGCGTGTTAAACCCTAGGGATGGGGCAGCAGTAGCCGGAGAAGAGTTGACTCCACCATAGACAGGAAATTCAGCTCAGCTTTCTCATCTGTGTTTTAACTTGGCCCTTCCAGAGTATTTGCAACCTCCGATTTCTCCGACACTTAGGGAACGACAATAACCCTGTTAAAACAAAGCACTAATGACGTTTTTAGTTACTAACTTTTTATTCCCGACATGCAGGATTTCAGGCAGTACAAGTTCCTTTCTTGGTTAGAGACGCAAGGGTGGCGGATGCAAAAGATAAAGAAAGGCAGCGAGTGGAGTTGCTCTAACTGAGGCAGGAAGGACACTCCTATTGTTGTTATAATAAGTGATAGCCAATGGGGAATCAGCAAGTTCATCCGTCCTTGAATAGCTCACTTGTTTGGACTCTTCCAGCCATGTTTTTGACCCTCTGCAGATTGCCCTTAAAGGGGTCTGTGGCTAGCGGTGAGCTGAGATCGCTAATTGCCGGTCGGGTTATATTGAAATACTTGAGGCCAGTATGGCTCTGTGCTGGTTTGGAGACAGAGGGGAGCCTGTTAAGGGGGTTGGGGAGCTGGTACATCTCTGTCAGAGGTTAGGGCAGCCCTCAGAGATTCGCTAAATTACATCTATGCTGCACTTATTATGATCTGTATTTCGGTAATGTTGAGGCGTCCTCGTCATGGGCTGTACTGAGTTTATGAGGCTCTGCGGGGCGCCAAATTGCTGGTGGACAAGTTTGACTTGGCCACACCTCTCCCATTCCTTCCTACTCTGGCCTGTCCTGAACACCCGGTGCAGTGGCCCTGATGGAACACCCTCTGCCTCTGGGCGAAGGGGCCCGCTGCAGGGAGGATACTGCTTGGAGTGAGGGTGCTATTCTCTCTACCCTACAGTCCCTTTGTGCTAGCTAAGCTAGGGCAAAGGGGGCACAGGGCAATATTGATTTGACCCTTGGAGGCCTGATTCTGGTCTTATGCTGGTACAACTATTGGCTTCAGTCAGCAGTAACTCCACAAACCACAGGGTGTAACAGGGAGCAGAATCAGGCCTTGGATGACAGTCTCTGGTACACAGCTGTGAAACACATCTAAAACGACGAGAGCAAAAATAGAGGCCAGCAATGTGTAACATATCCAAGGAACTAAGCAGTGACACACTATATAAAATGTTATTGTTCAACAAACACTGTGT